GGGAAGGGGAGTGGAGGACTGGCTGCCTCATCGGAGCCTGTGGGCAGCAACGCTCGTTTGATCTAAAGGGCAGGGAAGAGATAAAAGGGCTCTGCCCATGCAAAGAGCAGTTATGTCTTAGGGACAGGCACCAGGCCACCGCAAAGACAACTCGTGGATGCTCATGAGAAAAAGAAGGCAAAGCACTTTCCACGCAGCATTAGAGGGAAGCTCAACCTGCAGAGACAAGACCCAGACTAGCGCCAATCAGCCTCCCGAGGTGCTCAGGTCCAGTGGTCTGAGCAGAGACTGGCCCAAGCCCACCTCTGCACACTCTGCTCTCTCTGCTTCTCTCTAGCAGTGCCAGGAAAGCCATCCCCGTGCCCAAAAAATGACGCTGGACACTGGCAGGACAGAGAGGGAGAGCAGTGCTGCAGAGGGAGGCACCTTTCCTGCTCCACAGCAGCGGAGCTGACTTCTTTCACATTCTTACCTCCAAAAACACGCTGCCCAAGCTAAGGGACAAGATTGCAGCCCCTGCAAGCAGCTAAAATAGGAAAAATACAAGTGCCCAAGCCCTCGGCATCACCAGGCTGTGGCAGGGAAAAAGCAGATCTGTACTAAATGACTCAATTTTTCAGCAATGCCATTCCCCAGCGGATTACTCGGTGACGGCTGATAACAAGAAGGGAGCAACGTGCCCTTTTCTGCAGGGAGAGGAGACAGACCGACAAGCAGCAATTGTTCAGCCCTTCCTCCCGGCGCTGGCGTAATGGGGCCATCCTCCCCCGGCTGCGTGAAGGGACCGCAGGGGAGCGGGGCTGGCGGGGAGGACAGGGCTGTCCCCGGGGCACGATGCTGGGGCGAGATCCAGGATGCCACGAGCTGCGGGCGGCTCCGCAGTGCCGACAGCTTGGGAACCTGCTTGCAGCACCGCGCCGCAGCCTTTCCAGTGCTGGGCTCGGGCCAACCAAGGGAAAGGTATGCTGGCAGGGCTGCTGGCAGCATCTGTTTAGCCTGGATTTTGCTCGGCTTTTGTCCTTCTAACAGAGGGTTTTGGCACTGTCCTTCTGCAGGGGCCAGGACAGAGAAGAATGTGGTTGAAAGGCACCTCCACCCAGCTAGAAGTGGAAGGAGCGGCGAGTATGAGAGCATCATTTTCTTTGGAGGAGATGGGGCTGGGGAAACACAGCAACCAGGCAAACAGCTAACCCAGCCCATGCCCCGTGCTGCTTTCTCCTGCCCAACATCGCCCCTTGGCACCCACCTCAAATTTTGGCAAAACATGGGGGGAAAATCCCAGGAGCTTGAGGAGCATGCTCCCAGGATGCAGGGAGGGGATGCACGCCTCCACCTCTCCCCCAAGACAACCATTAAGGAACTGAACCCCAACTGGATACAATGGGAACATCTCCCTGCCCCAAGTGCCTGGAGCAGCCAGGATCTCCCTTGGGACAGGCAGTCCGGGCAGGGCAGTGTGCCACCAGCCTCGGCTCTGGGGTGCCCTCCTCCCCACACCCCCGGCAGCGAAAGCCAGGGCAGGAAGGCAGCTTGGAGATGCCGGCCACGGCCACTGCCGGGATGCAACGGGGCAGGAAGCTGCTGGCTGGGAGGAGGGGAGGAGAAAGGAAGTGGAGGCATTTCGGGCTTTTGTTAACCGCCCTGGCCCCTCTAGACGGGAGGGGAAAGAGGTGACCCCGGGCCCCCGACCCCATAGCATGGCGCGGGGGAGCCATGCGGGGCTGCTGCTGCAAGTGCCTGCCTGCAGCCCCAACGGGCTTTGCTTTGAGGAGCTGTTTATAAACAGAGCCGGCGTGTGCTAGGAAACATCTGGAGAAGAGCATTTCCAAGCATTCAAATGCCGGGCCCAGGCAGCCCAGATAAAAAAACCCTGCTTCCACCAGGACTTCCCTTGCTGGCCAGGCGCAGAGTGCTCCAGCTGCACCTCGGCTGCCTCGCAGGCTGGCAGTCACGAGCCCCAGCTTGCAGAGCTGCCATCACATGCTTTAAAATGCCTCACTGGGAACCGCTAGCAGGGGGAGAAGGGACTGCTCCACCTATCAGCTGTATTTTGCAGGTCCTTCTCTTACTTTCATGTACAGCAAAGGGCAAATGCAGGATGGGGGGAAGACTTTGTCCAAACCCACGAACTTCTGCTCATTTACTTCAGCTCTGGGTTATGGGACAACCTCATGGGATGAGCTGGAGACCACTGGTAAAGCAGCAGTGTGCCCTCGCTGGCAGGAAAGGCAGGGTGGAGGAGTTACTGCCAGCTGGGTGACCAACAGCAAGCCCAAAGTACTGGCCCCACAGGCAGCAGACAGGGCTCGTATGCCTGCACCCACCATCTCATGTAGGTTCAAGAGGCTGCAACCCTGCCACGCCAGCTGCACAGCCACCGCTGGCCTTGCTGATGAGGATGTGGATCCTCCCCATGCAGCCGCATATCCAGAAATGCAGACAGCCTGCGGGATCCCGCCCCGTGCAGCTGGGGAACTGAGGAGCCAGGTCAAAAAGACATGAAGTGAAATCAGATGCCGGGCCAGGCCCAGGGCAGCTGCGGTCAGAGGGTGCTCCTGGAGGGCTGTGGGGTCTCTGAACACCACTGTGCACCGTGCACATGCACTGCGTGAGCTCGAGCAGCATAGTACCCAGGGAGGAAGGCTGCACAGCCTCTCCCCCGCCAGCAGGGGAAGCAAAGCCAATAGCCACGGGATAAAGCCACAAAAATAAGGGGTCTGCAAGATTCTTGATGCAATAAGCATCCCTGGACCAGTACACTCCTTGCTGGAGCTCACTGGTTTGCTCCCACCTCTTGCCAGTGCTGGCAGAGTTTAGGCCAGCTGCCTGGGAGGGCAGGATGGGCAGCAGCAGGCCAGCACCTT